TTCTACGTTACAGAACCCTAACCCGAACCCGTTAAGAGATATTACTTGAGATGTATGTCACCAACTCTTATCTTCCTCTTGGCTTCATGATAGACATCTCTGCAGGATGGAGGTGTGAAAATGTTAATAGACGCAATAATAATCCTATCACTGACACATCCTCTCAAATCTAGCTTTGAAATGAAAGTGTTTGGCATTTCTATGGTTAAAGGACTTTAAAAGTCAATCATCTCTGTCTGTGACCGAGAATGACTCACCTTCAGTTCATGTGTACTTCTGCTTATTGTTTTCTGTGTGTCGTCTTCCACGGTTTCCTTATGACACTGGAAAAAACATAAAGGGAAACAAATCGGGTTAAAGCAGTGGATTTTGTTTTGTTTTAGTTATTTGAAATGTTTTTAAACGTATTTCTGATGGCATCGTGTGAACAGGCACCTTGACCTGAAACGGCGCTTTACAAATGAAATGTATTATTATTATTATTATGCAGAGGCTTTTATGTCACAATCTGACTGAATTTGTGGCCAAAATGTGTCCCAGTTTTAGAGCAGCAGCCCTCAGTGACCCCACTGGCTGTGTCTATGAGTGTGTTTACATGTTTAAACGAGTATCTCGGCTATGAGGCTTATCTAGGGCCTTATGATTTCTGCGATGTGAAAAGAAACACCGAATTGTGGAATTTGATAAGAAATGTTGAATCAAATGTAAAATGCGGAATATCATTGAATTTGCCAAAATGTGGATGCAATTAATTAAAATAAAATAAAAAATTCACAGTCAAATGAACAGAAAACAAGAAAAACTTTGAAAGAATTATATTAAAAATGATTTAAAGAGTAGTTTTTGGCAAATAAAAGTTGTCACTGAATTGATGGTACATGCATTATTTCAGTGAATATATATTTTGATTGAACTGACATCTACTTGATTAGAATGTAAAGTTTGTTTATAGAGTATAGCTAAGTATAATGCTGTAGGTGAAAAACACTTACAGGATCACCATTAGCACGGCACGCTGCAATACGTTGTTGTCACGGGATTCTGTAGACGTTTGAAATTCAAAGTGAGGCAGCAAGGGAAAGGCAGAATGGATGAGCTGCGGTAGTTATCTCTAGTTGTCTCAACGAGCTTCGAGTCAAAAGTGTCACTAATTTAGTGTTTGACCGACAGTGCTGAGATGTCACATTCACAAGAACAGGACGGATGGAAGTGGACCAAAATTGTCGTGTTATTTGTTATTATTTTTTCTTATTGACAATATGCCAGT